CTGACAGCAACGAGCTCGATGAGGGGGCTCGAACTCGTGAACCGAGAGCTCATGACCTGAGCTGAAGCCGGATGCTCAACCCACTGAGCCACCCAGGTGCCCCGCTCCCCCCTCCCCCCACCAATAGAATGCTTTTGACAAGTACCCTGTTCAATTTCCTGCTTCTCATTCAAGTGAGTTGCATCCAGCTGAGTCACAGGGTATTGGGTGAGGGGCATTCAGTCTGGCAACAGGAAGAGAAACTACTTGGAGGAGAGAAGCAGTGGCTGATTCGGATTGAGGAACCTCAGGCGGTTTGAGGCCAGGGGACCCTAGTGGGAGGTGTGCCGAGTCCAGCGGCACACGTTGATGATGCCAATGACTTTGCCTTTCCAGAAAACCACTCCCTGCCCTGGGAGTGCTGCTGGGGCGGCCAAAGCTCTGGCAGGAAGAGGCGGCTGCACGTGTCCTCCCTTGTCCTCCTGCACCATCGTCCGAGCTACAATGTTTCTCTGAAGGATCTGCTGGTGGTCGCCACCCCAGCCCGACTGGATCCGAGGCCTGGCCGAAGCCACGGGGGAAGCGTACAGTCACTGCCCGATCGCTGGCCCAAGAGGATGTGAGCGGAACTAGGTAGGTCCGCCCATATTCCCTTCGCTTGCTTGCTGATTGGCGGGCACCACACGTACGTATTTCTGGAATGTCGGATGGGCAGGTGGACGGCCGGAGTGATAAAAGACATACGTACTAGAGCAGAGGTCCGAGTTCTGGGGCTTTCTTTGGTCAGTGTCATACCTTCCACACGTCAAGGCGATGTACCATATCTCACGTGATCCTCAGGTCACATGCTGCGAGGTTGGCACGAAGACATCATTACTTTGTCCTCAACTTGCAGATGAAGAGAATCAAGGTTTGGGGACATTAGACGACTCGCCCAACCTCACACAAGTGATGGGTTCTGGACAAATAACCCCTTGTTTCTTCCTCTCTACCGCTCTGCTGTGAACGTAGAGCCCATCTTGACCCATGGGAAGAAAGGAGCCCTGCCGTGTTTCTACTTAAATCACTATGATCTCATCATCCTGCCTCTGGAGCCACTTTCACGGTGGATGGGTCACTGAGTCGAGGCCTTCAGAGGTGTCAACCATTGAGTTTTTGGGAGATACGTAGCCCCTTGTGTAGATTTTAAGATGATTATGAGCGGGGCGCCTGGGTGGCTCAGTCGGTTGAGCGTCCGACTTCGGCTCAGGTCATGATCTCGCAGTCTGTGAGTTCGAGCCCCGCGTCGGGCTCTGGGCTGACAGCTCAGAGCCTGGAGCCTGTTTCAGATTCTGTGTCTCCCTCTCTCTGACCCTCCCCCGTTCATGCTCTGTCTCTCCCTGTCTCAAAAATAAATAAAACGTTAAGAAAAAAATTAAAAAAAAAAAGATGATTAACGGGGCGCCTGGGTGGCGCAGTCGGTTAAGCGTCCGACTTCAGCCGGGTCACGATCTCACGGTCCGTGAGTTCGAGCCCCGCGTCGGGCTCTGGGCTGATGGCTCAGAGCCTGGAGCCTGTTTCCGATTCTGTGTCTCCCTCTCTCTCTGCCCCTGCCCCGTTCATGCTCTGTCTCTCTCTGTCCCAAAAATAAATAAACGTTGAAAAAAAAAATTTAAAAAAAAGATGATTAAGAGCTTGCTAGCCTGGGGTGCCCGGCACCCCGCTGAATAAATGGTGGCTGCAGCGACGATGGTGACATGAGTAGGATTATGATGATGACACCGTGCTGATGGGGACGAGGCCCAAGACACACGTGCCTCTGATGCACTAACTGCTTTGCAAACATTTTCTCAATCGCCAAAGCAACTCTCCGTGGTGAGTACCATCGTGGCTCTCTTTTCTCAAAGGAGAAAGCCAAGGTTCAGAGAGGTTAAATAACTTACACAAGGGCACTCAGAGCTCCCACGCCTGGGCGCTTAGCCACCGGTCTCTCTGACCGGCCACGTTGGCTGCTCTTTAATGACCCGTATCAAATGTGTGGGGCTGTCAGGACGCTTAATGTTGTGCAGGTGAAATCAGTTTCTGGTGACTGTGGCTGTGACTCACCTGCTACTGGGTAGGCGTGGTGATGATGAGTTAATTGACTTGAATATTTTAGAGGCCATTTTAAAGGAAACACATAGGGGCACCCGGGTGGCTCAGTCGGTTGAGCATCCGACTTCGGCTCAGGTCATGATCTCGTGGTCCATGAGTTCAAGCCCTGCATCGGGCTCTGTGCTGACAGCTCAGAGCCTGGAGCCCCTTTCCGATTCTGTGTCT